GAACCATGGAAAACCCCGGGAAGAACCACCGATCCACGAGAATCTATTGGCAGGCTTTCTCACTTACCCACAATAGCCGAGTCTGGACTCGAACTCACGCAGACAGAGGTGAGATGGCAGTGATCCGTAACGGTCAGCGCTTTAGATCACTGTCCACTCGGGGCCCCTCTTAATAACGTTGGGGTTTGGGTATCATTATGAAAAGTTTATGATTGTTATATTTAATTATCATATAATTCAGTCTTCTACGGAAGGAAATAATGAAGATATTTCGATCTCGGCTTCATGGATATTCTAGTACTAGTATGTTCATGACGCTTCATTGTGAATATATGCAAACTTTATGTAAGAATATTTGGTCAAGAAATGAACTCCACCCCAGTGTTCTCTTTATACAACACTAGTATCAAAGTAAGCCACATTCTTATCATTATGGAGTAATAGACGTTCGCAGCAAAAATGGACAAGCCTTTAAAGGTGCAAAATTTCTGAAGATGTTCTGTAACAGCACATTTTGTCATGGTCAGCGTGACAAGTAAACATTAAGATTGAAGTATAAATTAGGTTCTCAATAAATTATTAGCTTACGACAGTTAACATCTCTTCGTTGCCAGCATGATAGGATGTTTATTAGGATCCGCTATGATAACGGTCCAGAATATATGTTAACATAGGATCAAGTGGAGGAAATGGCAAAGTAGAGAAAAGCCAGAGACAAAATTGGGGAAATATTGGGCAATTTAGACTAGACAGAAACTATTCTGACTTCGATGGGAGTGTTAAAATTTGAACACTTAGAGAAAACGTTAATCTTAATTGGCTTAGCTAAATGAGGCGGTGTGTCTCCAGATGAAATTCGTTGTTTTAAGAACTCTCTCGCGCGAAATTTGTCAGTCCAAGGTTTTGTAGAAAGGAAAGGATGAGGGACTATGAGGAAGTTAAGAAATAATTTATGTCGTTAAATATATTATCCAAGGGACGGGAATCTGGAACGTTGAGGAAAAGAGAAATTCTGCTTCATAGAAAAGAAAACAAGTCTCAGAAAACACAAATAAATAAAAACTCCATACCACTGTTACAGTTATGATAGACAACGAGAGAGAGAGAGAGAGAGAGAGAGAGAGAGAGAGAGAGAGAGAGAGAGAGAGAGAGAGAGAGAGAGAGAGAGAGAGAGAGAGAGAGGGAGGGGGGACAACGTAGACCTGTCATCAGCAGTGATTTTGAGAGGACCAGAAGCAACCAGGTTATGATGACATGCTGACAATTGGATTTCCATCATTCACTCGATTATATGATTAAATTTAATTTGTTTTATCGTGTGTGTGCGTGTGTGTGAGTGGGTGTGTATGTGTGTGTGTGTGTGTGATTGATTTGGAATTTTAGCGTAACTTTAAAAAATGTTCAGTAATATCTCTACGATAGTTTATAGTGATGTCTAGCACTGGAACATCATGCCGCAAACGTAGCATCATGTCCCACCCAGTCACATTTTCTTGACACTATGCATACCAGTCCTAACACTAACCTATGAATGCTAAGCACCAAGCCAAGCAGCTGATTGTAGCATTTTATAACTCTTTAGATGAATCGGCCGGGATTCGAACCCGTGACCTTCAGCAAACGAGGCGGACGCTCTAACCACAAGGTCATAGTTTGTTTTATCCGTATAATAGAATTGCTAATCGCATTGCGCATAGACGTTTATCACTTCTTTTCTATGAGAAAATGTTATGTTTAATTTCATTTTGTTTATGTAATTGATTAAATTGTTATATTTTATATGTTCTGTTCTATACATTTGCTCAGATTTCAGTAATTCCATCCATTAATTGCATGTATTTTATGTTACTCGATGAGTACAACCATAATCGATCATCTCCTAGATAACGATAACCAAAGCTCCATAACAGGTGGAGATCATATCATATCATGTCATACACACACACACACACACACACACACACACATATATATATATATATATATATATATATATATATATATATATATATATACGATAGTCAATCAAAGGATATACATATACATGTGTGTGTGTGTGTGTGTGTGTGTAAGTGTGTGTGTGTGTCGGAAACACCCCTCCTCTACTTTGTTGGGGTGGGCTATCCTGGTTTTTGTTATTATTATCTAGAGGTGATCACCGACGATGTAATTTGCCCAAAACGAGTAAATATCAATAAAAAAGGGTGAACTTTATAGGTGGAATAAATAAAGATCTGAACAGATATACGTAACAGAATGACACAAGCCCTCGTTACAAATAAAGACAAATTTTAATCAAAATCAATGAAAAAATATTCATAAACAAAAGTAATAATGCGTTATAATTGAGGATACACTTATTCCTTTTTTGAATCAACTTATTTAAGGAATTTCAAATACAAATATGATTATGCCAATAGCTGATCTGTTAAACGATGTAATTATTTCATCATCGAATCGAGTGAAAGATCGAAAAACACCGCCTTTTATCAATTTTTAACCCAATGTTTTGACTCACTCCAATTTCAGAGCGACTGTTCCTTTTAACTCCTTTGTGCCAGTAAATCTGGACCTTCTCCACATTTTCCCCTTCTTTTTCTAAATTCTTAGGCTTCTCGCCTCTTTCGGCCTTGGGTTTGTGAATAGTTGAGACTTCCCGTAGCTATCTAACTTGCAAAAATATAAACAAAGATCACACTAAATCTTCCATCACATTATACTGGTAATGAATCATTACTCCCACACCTAGTTGGGTCAGATATAATTCTATCAGAATTCAAACATACCAACGACTATCTAGTCTAACTGATAATATCAGACCATGCAAAGCTAGGCTCACAAAACTAATGGTACTGATAATGGCTATTGAACACCGCACCGAGACATTAGTTCCATACTATTCGCCATTACTCAAAAGACTGAATGAAATTCCTTACACTACGATATTGATAACAACAATCAACAACAATCAAGTAGTTATCCTACCTGAACTCAAATCGGAGAATTCACACGGACTCTCGTATCTCAACTAAAATACGACACGAAATTCTAGATACATGACCTTATATAAAATAAGGCATGAAATACTAGATACATAACTTCCTATAATAAGCGAGCCATCAAAGTATATATAAAGAAAAATATCATTGTGTTTACTCAACAGTTATACCATATCAAGAAAATTGATCTACGAATTTGAACAAATAATTCCATGCAAATACAAGCATATAAATAAAAAAATCATCATAGCAGTATCAACGAATAACATAAAATTTGTGCTTTCAAGCTTTGCGTCTGTCAATTTCTCCAGACAATCGTCTCCTCTGAATGACTTTACGAGTGAATTTACTTCTTAGTTTCCTCTGAGTCTTCTTACCTTCGTTTTCTCTTGTAGAAAAGCGTAGAATAATTTCCAATTTTACTATTAGCACATTTAAACAGAGAGTTTTCGTGTGAAACCATGCCACCTTTCATAGCCTGTCCAATGTGGATGAAATATGTTCCCACCTGAACTGTGCTCAAACAATGCAGATCGTTTGACAACTAGCAGACTGCTCCAGCGTCCTCCTCGGATGCGAGAAGTCGTGGGTTCGAACCCCGGCCGAATTATACCAAAGACTTAAAAAAAATGGTGCCTCAGTGCTAGACATCGCTATAAACTATCACACTGCAGATATCGTAGCAATATGACAGAAAAATTGTGAAAGCTACGTTAAAAATCTAATCACACACAAACACACACACACACACACACAATATAAACTGTCACAATGCAGACATCGTAGTGATATGATTGAAAAATTGTTAAAGCAACGTTATATATCTAAATCACACTGACAAATAGCTTAGCGACTACTGTTCTCTGCAATTTTCTAATCTGACAACTACGTTACAGTTCGAAAATTAACCCCGGACTTGTTTAGTTTGAACAAACGTAGCCGTAATCAAAACTCGCTAACCTCGTGACAGAGTCTGTACCAATCCGTACATTATGGCTATTTAAACACTCGAAGGTTTCCATAAATGTAACTAATCGTATATGTGTCCTCCTAGAGGATTCCTAAATAAAAATTTGCTCCATTACAATATATATATATATATATATATATATATATATATATATATATATATATATATATATATATATATATATATATATATCGACAAGGGATGGGGCTGTATAGAAAAGGGAAATTGAACATAGGGTTTACATTTAAAAAAACAAACATTTTATATGTAAAAAATCATTTTGTATGTAAAGAAATTGTGTTGTAATACAGAATATACATCTTTTCGGGTCGTATGAGTGACCTTGAATAGAGCCGTTTAGCTTTTGTTAACACCACTGAGTTAACATATGGAACATGGCACAGCTCTTCTTCTTATCTTCCTCAAACTTTGTTATACGGACCGTATATTAAGAATCGCTTCAAGCACCCTTTTCTTTCCACATAGATCCTTCATTCCAAATGGATGTATCGGTCATCTTGGTGATAACATACGATGATTTGACATACATGAAATAGTCCTGGTAGAACAGCATCGACGATAGGAAGATAGACGATTCTACATTTGTCCACATCTTGTGAAAAGGTGAATGGAATGGGTGAACCTTAGATATTTATAGTGAGAAAGAGGATCGAAACTGAATGACTTCTCTCACCAATCTCAATACGCGTCACAAATTTCAGTCCCGGCTCGGAGTCTGTCTTCCAATCCAAATGTGTGTGTATGTGTGTTTGTGTTTGTGTGTGTGTGTGTGTGTGTGATTTAGATTTTTAACGTAGGATTAGCAATTTTTCAGTCATATCACTAAGATGTCTGCAGTGTGACAGTTCATAAGGATGTCCAGTACTGGAGCATCATTCCGCAAAGATGTGGCATGATGTCCAACCCAATAACATTACTCTGACACCATGCCGACCAGTCATAACACTGACCTCCTAATGTTGAACTCCTAGCGAGGCAGCTGTTAGTACCATTTTTATAAGTCTTTGGAATGACTCGGCCGTGGATCGAACCCGCGACCTTCCGCATTCAAGGTGGATGCTCCAACCTTTAGGCCACTGTAGCGGTCTCAATCCGAGGAGAGCTACCTCTGAAGTCACATACACTATGTAGACAAGCAAGCGCCTGTGCGCGTTGAATCAATGTGACACTGTTATAACATGACACAAATTACGAAGACAATAAATTGTAGTGCACCGGCGTGGAGACGAGAACTGATGGCATAGCAGGAGCTACTAAAACAACTCCAATCCTACCTCCAGATGAGATCGGTTTAAATCGGGATTTAGCGGATTTTCTCACTTCACATCAATTTGTTCCTGTAGCAGTACCTTCTCTGCATTTTCCTTCCTTACCGTACGTCAACATATTAAACAGAGGCAGAAAGCAAAATTAGAGAAATTTTTGCAAAAGCAAGAAGAAGCATAACAAGCCTTTCTCATTCAACAGCGAGAAAAAGAAACAAAGAGAAAAGGACATTAAGAAGAAGTAGAGAAGAAACAAGGTCTAGGAGAGAAGGAGGACAATGAAAATCAAACGGTCACGGCATTCTTAGACATTTTGGCAGAGTTAAGGAGTCTCAAACATATGTATCAGTTTTCTTTAATACGACCCAGGAGAAAAAGACCTTCCCGGGCCATACAGTCCAAGCCTATCAAACACGCCTACTACTCATAAGATGTCCAAACTAGTGATCTCTACCAAATCATCGACAGAAGCAAGTCAAGAAGTAATCATTGGCAATGGAAAAGGGATAAGGCAGTTAAAGCTCATTACTTCCCGTTCCTGAGTTTGTCTTTCTTCTAAAAACAAACAAACAAAACAAAAGAAAAACAACTGCCCAACGATCCCTTTGAGTGCCACTCACCTCTCTCGAAAAGAGACTACTCAATGTTTACCAAAATCAAATAAAACTCAAATCTATTTTCGTATGGACTTGTTTGAGTGGGTGAGTATCGGTTCTTATGATTATAAAAATCAAAACCAAGAGACATTTACTTTTCTCTTTCTGGTATATTCTCTGGTATAAATTACAATCAAATTTCACAACACACCACTTTATAAAGTTCAATAACTTCTTATCTTTTCAATCTCTTCTTTTTAGAATTTCTTCAATGCAAAGGTTTCTCCTATTCTTCCCCACTTTTTTCTTTTTGTTATCTTTTATTCTCTTTCTAGACGTGATTGGGTTCTTTTTTTCCGGATTGTACCTCTTTTTCCTGTTTGGAGCCTCTCTCTTCCTCATGCCTCTGTTGTTTCTTTGGGGCATTCTGAAGACCAACGTCCTTTCTCTTGACAATGATAAATGGTATCTTGACCTTTGTCTCTTTTGGTGTCTTTCTTGCTTTGACGTCGTTCACAATCTGTGGCCCAATGCCCTTTATTCTGACAGATATAGCATGTGTCTCGACTTTAATATTCAAAGGAGAGGGAGTAGTAAATCGGCATATCTGAAGAAAACCTTCGTATGACGCATCGCAATGCTCTGATCAGAAGTTTGATCTGTGCTGGCTTCTATCTTTCACGAACGACTAAGAGTAAAATGAGTACTCTCATTGAAGACACTGACCCTTTATATACGGAAGACACTGTCCTTACATTGCTATATAGGGGACCATGCCGTTTAAATTGTAACCATTTAACCTTTTGTAATTAAAATGACACGATCACACCATTTTGTGAATAAAGGAGAAGAAAGTCAGAGACAGAAACGTGATCTTCGTACAGCAGCCGAAGTCTTGGATCATATTCATGCCTGCAAATTGAGGATGATAGGAGTGAATCAGATCCCAGACCTAGAGAGTCTACACCAAACCAATGTTCACAGCCAGTATTCCCCTAAAAGTATTACTACATTCGAGGGACGGATAAACGACCCTATAGAAAATTTAGACTTATGGCCTACACGTAAACAATGAAATTAAAAGATTTCAAGTCCGACGTACCGCTGGAGAAAACTGAGGTATTCATCACTGACATGTGGTATTCATTGTAAACTACACTTAAACGACAATGTCGAGCCAAAGAAGACGATCGCATGAGACTTTCCATTTATCACGACAGTCTGAAGTTCACTGTTTGGATCGAGGTTAGTAGCCCAACAGAATTGACACCTTCCAAAGTCACTGACAAGATTCAAAACGTGCAGCAATCCAACGACCAGTGTCATATCACCGATGGAAAAGAGACACTGTAATTGACCCACGTTTCTCTTCCCAAATAAACTCAAGACACCATGTGTTTAGCCCGCGCCATTGTCATAGGACGAACGTATGCTAATAAGAACGACACAGCAGAATTGACAAGAGCCTAGGAAAACATTTGAAAATAAAACCGAGACAAACAACGAATAGAAGCAGAACTCCTGCTACAGAACGTGGTGGTAGATTGTTGGGTTATCGTTATCTAGAGGTTGATCGCCTCGGTGTTATTGCCCAGATTAAGTATATTAATATAAAGTGTTAAACTTACAGGTGGATTAAATAGAGATCTGAGCAGATATATAAACAGAATGACAAGAGCCCTAGTGCATGAAAGACAACAATTTAATCAATTACATAAACAATTGTGATAATACGTTACATTAGGAAGATACACTTCTTTTTTAAATAAATCATTCAACGAATTTCAAAGCACATATAGATAGCCGATCTGTCTTAAATGATAGAATTAGTTCATCATAGAATCGAGTGAACAATCGAAGTCATTGCCATGTACAACTTCATAACCTGATTTTCCTGTTCATTACATCGTCACTGTTGCTGTTCTTCTTGGTCCTTTTCACTTTTACTTTTTCTTCTCCAATCTCTCTTATTGTCTCTACTCTTTCGTCCCTTGATATTTGTATGGGTAGGTGGATACGTAAGTACGTACATATCTGAGTAAGTAGGTACGTGGATACATCAGTGCGTGGATACGTCGTTGGACCTATTTCCTCTTTCAAAAGAGAAGCAACCTAAATCTCTGGTCAGATATCCAGCGGGGAATAGATCATTACTCCCCGCCTTGTTATGTCAGACATTGTCCTATCGGAATTTAAACAGATGCCAAAGGCTATCTGGTCAAGCTGAACAAGGCAGACCATAAAAAACCTAGTTCCAGAAGATTAATGTACTTCCAAAAGGCTATTTCAACAGTGACTCATTTTAGTATAATACGATACATATAAGTTGCGTTCTCGTCTCAATCATACAAATGAATGAATGAAATTCATTACATGACTTAGCTACGCTATTTTAGTGAATACACACATTCAAGTCTTTAGCATACATGAAATCTCACTTCATTTCAGTCAATACGTGCTCAAGTCCTTATCGTACGTGAAATCATCTCTAAAGGTCGGTGAATTTACTCGGATTCTCGTAACTCATATCAACTAAAGCAATGCATGAAATTCTTAGACTACATAATTTCCATTAACAATCAAGACGACAAATTCAAACAATTCGTCAAACTTATATAAAGAAAATCATTGTACGGGTTCAGAGAGATGAACTTAATACAGTTGTTCTTATATAAAGAAAACTGATGTACGAATTCAAACAAATAAACTCATGCAAAAACAAGCAAATAAATCCATGCAAATCGGTGTTTTGGCACCAACGGATAACATTAGATTGACGCAAATACCTTGTGTTTTCAAGCTTTGTTCGCTTCTATCGACCGAATTGTGTCCGTCGACACATCTTGTGGCATTTCCGAAATGCAGAAACTACATGACGATTTAGCTCCATGCTACGTATTGGAAGTACACCCTCAAGAAATGCGCTAACCTTTGTTGTTTCGATGTAAATATGTCAAAAATGGAAAATACATTCACGTATATCATCACGATGAACATTTTGATGCCATTACCAGTATCGCTGGATTCCTGATATGCAGTTTTTATTGTGAGAAGTGTGATTATGGTTATAACAATCAAGAGCAGCACAAGCATTGTGGATCGAAATGCTCAGGATGCAGGTCTCTAAATCCTATCTTCGCGAAGGATAAAAGCAAGTGCATTGCCCGGCTTGTCAGTACACATTTCTCAGTCCTACCTGTTACCAACAACATCTGAAGACTCAAGGTTCACAGCGGAATAGTGCTTGTCAATTCCTGAGATTGTGCCCTACTTGTCAACAAGGCATACGTACCAATATTATGTTCAGGACAGAAACGGTATCACATTTGTCACCAAATCGTGGACATGGAACATGAATGCTACATTAAAAAATACCAACCCCAACGAGAGGAGGAAGACGACGACTACAATAAAAACGGCAATTTCAACTTTTTCGATTTCGAATGCATGCAGAAGAATGGCATTCACATTCCTAATTTATGTGTGGGGGCATTCGCCTTAAAGCGATTAATATTGTCAAACAACAAGGAAGACAAATAGATTCATCACGCGCGAAACGGAGGAGATAAAAACACCACAGGAACGTATTCGGTGAATGGTTGGGACATAGAAAACCCTAAGATTGTGTACTTGTTTAAAGGTTGCATATTTCACGGATGTCCGAGCTGCAACCCTCAATGTGACACTAAACATCAGTTTTTATAACATACCATGGAAGACTCGTACGAGGCCACTTGTAAGTTGTGCTTACAATTGGAACAGCAAGGATACCAAGTGGTGGAAATGTGGGAACATGAGTGTAATCACCATTTGAAAATAGATACCAAATTTAAGCGCATCGTGGAACGTTACATGTTGGTGGACCCTCTGAACCCGTGGGAGAGTTTGTATGGAGGACGGACGAATGCCACCTGTTTGATGAACCACGCTGACGAGGAGAAATGAGAAGAAATCAAATACAAGGAAGTATGTTCGCTGTATCTTAACGTCTGCTAATATTGTCACTTTTCGCCAGGTCACCCACAATCGTTTACGGTACACTTCGACGTGTACAACATTTGAGAATACGAAAGACTGATTAAATATAAAGTCTTTCCTCCCAATGACTTGTACGATACCGTTTTACCTCACCATTGCCAATGAAGATTGGTGTTTCCCTTGTGCCGTGCTTGTGTTGAAACGTGCAACCAAGACAAACCTTGTCATCACACTCAAGAAGAATGCGC